ATCGCGGAAAAAACCTCTACTATCCACACACGCACTGACATATTATGCATTTTTAACTGGGTCAACTGAATGTACAGAGCATGTGCACAAAGCGGCGCACATCATCCCGATCCCAAGGCTAGTTCAACGGACAACACAGTGAACTATTTGCCGGCACAGCAACCAACGACGATGATGAGGATGATTACGGTGTACGACGCGGACTATCAAGCGGCCTGGCATAATTTGTGAGGCCTCACTCGATTCCGTCGCATCCCAAACGCGCACTGAGCCGAAACGAGAGAAACTGGACGACGACACGCCCATAAACACATCGATGCACGTGCACATGGGCGCATGCACGCATGTGCACATATTGAAATACAGGCCTGCGCACAAACATACGCACACAGGCGACAGACTAACACGAGCACCATCACCACCACCATCGCCACCGCCACCCAATATCGATTGACCGTAAAATCAGACCCGCCGGACGAGCGCTGTTAGCACCAGTTGGGTGTGATGGTCAGGCAAGCGAACGGCAATACAGAATGATGGTACCCATGTGATTGCAATAGCACCACAAAAATTGGTTCAGAGCACGCAAATGGACATGGGACATCACAACCGCAATTTTTTGTTTTTACTGCCATCCAAGGAAGACAGAGGAGCTAGGACAGACAGTTAGATATCAATTCACGTTCAACCAAAACAGTTCGGCAAAGGGGACTAATCGATGGACAAAAAGAGCCATGTGGTGTAGATGCGAACGACGGTAAAAGAAGGGGCATATTATTGAGGTCATCGATGCTCAGAACAATCGCGGTACACTAAGCTCCGTCTGAATTTCTAGACCCGAACCAGACCGGTTCACATTGACAAGGAGTACCGATTTTCAGTTCATTCAACCATTCACTTCGTACTTTCGCGGGGCGATGTCAGTTCCCATCTTTCGGCTAACCCCGTTTCAGTTTGTATAATCACTAAAAGAAGAAGCAGTAGGAAGATGAAAACAGAGATACAAGCAGACTATGGCTGCTAAGAAAGTGAGTAGATGCATGAGTGCTACTGTGAAAGTATTTATATTACATAATTCACACGCGTTTGAATACAGACCGTATTTCAAGCAAACCACGACACAACAATCTGTATAACAATGAAATCAGTCCATGATTTAATTATGAGCAGTTAGGTTGCCCAGGTTAATGTAGGTGAATTTTTGGGCCGAATTTATAACCGCAGCCTCCGGCTTGCCAAAGCCCGCTCAGTGGCCCTAATAATCGATTATATCGATCCCAAGGGCAAGAACCAAGAAGCTCAACGCATCCGAGACCCTCGGTTAGGGTTTTCGTAACCTCATATCAGATCTTCGTTTAACCACGGATGATTTTTCCGTCCATTATCTATCTTGATAACATCCCACGTCCAAGAAGCCTATGACTGGGGTCTTGCCACTCCGAAGCCCAGGAATCAAGCGAACAGCAAGTCTTTGGGGTTTAATCAAGTGGCGAATAATAAAAAGTAAAGTTTGGTGTAGATACCGCATGTCTCAAGGTACGTAATCTATGGATGCTGATCAAGCTTGGTTTTCGGTGTGATTCAGATGACGGTTTGTGTAACGTACCATTACTGTTCCTTCCGTCCCGGCAGTTTTAATTCATGAGTGCACAGTGAATTTCGGGGTGTAACGGACCTGGGTAGGTCCTAGCAACCAGCGGTAAAAAACATTCGTCCTGAGCATCCCGTTATTACAGTGCCGACCAATCAAACGTTTGAAATTATGCAGTCCAGCCATATCAGTCTTATTTGCCTTCCAATTTTTCAATTTGTACAACTATTAGCCATGCATCTTTGTGCGGTGGTCATTGTTACTGTCTTTTGGTTGAAGTAAGGTTGGGAAGTTGAAAGCAGTGTTGAATGGAAAGTGAAAATAGGGGATTCATCATGAAAGGAAATTGGGGAAATACACGAGCGCCACTATTTACGACACTCGGCCATATCAATGAGTGTCTCTAACCCCTGATTGCAATCACCGCGGAGTTCCAACCCAGGAAGCCTACAGGCGACCTATGTAACCAAATAAATCTCCTAGTTAGGGGGTGTGCTCTCGGCATGGCATGCTCTCATGCCATATCTGTTTATCACTCACTACGTGTCTCGACAAACATCGCGAGTCGTGGAGATCTTGTTGGTGAGATGCGTCACATATGCACCAAACAGCGTATTCTATAGAAGTTAACCACTTGCTCCGACGAGAGCGATCATGATCACCTAAAACTCTGCGCCTAACCTCAGGATCGCTTGTCCAGTTGTTCCACCAGATTCGCGCAATGCTGCGTTGGCAGCGGTGTTCGAACACCGACAAGCCACCCTCATCCGGTTTCCGTAATGGTCAAGTTTCTTGGCCGAATGGTAGCACAAGCTGATCTACTATATCGTATATTCGGTCCTTCATAGATAGTAGAATGTCGTTATGGCACCGAATAGGATGTCTCAACATGGCAAATGCCAAATGAGCCTTTTAGATGTGAGAAGACATTTCATCTGTGATGCGTCTGCCAGGTGAAAGATATGGGTGTCGAAAAGAGCTAAATTTGGCTTCTACCCAGTTAAAGTGAGATCGGGAATTGGACCAACCCAGTCCTGTAGTACCATTTTGGCCTTTGAAGATACAAAACGCATACCGAATACAGATGGCTAAATTAGCACTGAAACTATCGAGAAAAGCTTGGGTTTATATCAGTCTGAGTCTGGATGTGCTTTGGATGAGCGGGGCTCAAATATTGATAGATACGCGACCAATCAATCAATTGTCACTGGCAGTGTCGAGCACCACACACACTCTCTCCGTTGATCTTTGTAAGTGTGCAATAAGACGAAGAAATTACTGTTGAAGCATCCCAGTGAAACACGTGCTCTGGCAGGTTTTCCGCTAGTGGGATATATTTAGCAACGCAGAGCAAAACGAATGAAGCAACCCAAAAGATCGGACGCGTTCAAACGGACTGTGAAACTGTGCAAACGTCATTCACCTGGGTGGACCGGAGGAATCGACCCAAACAATTACTGTATATGATGATNATGACTGCGTCGTGTAAATGAGATGTGAGCTGAAAAGCCGGGAAGCATTGGACAGTTGCTTTGACCTGGTTGGGTTTCATCAGCAGTGCGAATCCATCGATTCAACTGGGGATCGAACCCGGGCTGTGCTATATCGTGAAATTCAAAATGAGAAACAGTTTGACCAGCTGCCCGGTGACCGAGTGAGTAGTATGCTTGCGTTCTATCCGTGAGGTCCCGGGCTCGATCCCCAGTTGGGTCGATGGATTCGCACTACTGATGAGATCCAACCAGGTCGAAACAGCTGTCCAGTGCTTCCCAGCTTTTCAGCTCACACCTCATTTACACGACGAATTCACCATCAAAACAAATCATATCCTCCATTTCTCCCAATTACTGTATATAACCATCGTTCGCATAATAACAGCTCTAAACGTGACTGGGAGCTCACGGAG